TGTGGAGGGAAAAACACTTTTTCTCTCCAATCGAAGATGGACTGATTAAGGAGTTGAGGGAACTCAACCTCTTGATGTTCCCAAGTACTGTAAGACTGCAGAAGCCTTTGCTTTCCAACCGTGGTGTGCTCTCAATTCTCAATGATTTTTGTATGCAATTTTCATTTCCAAGTTTTATCTGCCCTTTTACTTATTTTTCTTCCTTTCCAGCTGCTATGGAGCAAGAAGGTAATGCAGGGGGACTGGTGCTTCCTAACCTAAACTTGGTGCATCTTGACCTGAACTTGCATCCTCTTGAGGAGATGGAGGAGTGATGGATGCTGATGAGACTCCATAAAGTGACAAAGAGATCATTTTCAGCGTATTTCAGGCTGGAGTTTTGGGGTAGAAAAGTACTCGCTATAGTTCCCAGGGAGAGGAGTAAGGAGAGGCTTCTGTTGAGCAGGAGTCAATTATCTCTCATGAAATAATGAAATATCAAATGAGATTGATCTATGTTATTGTTTGGTTATTTTGTTATCCTGTTTGTTGTACCTTTAATTTCTGTAGTTGAAACATTTACAATGGATGATCTTATTGGCAAATTGTATTTTAGCCTGGAAAGGCAGTTTGATGGTAAAGAGGTATGTTTGGTGAAGCTTGTAAGTGCTTCAGCTTTTGATACTATTCATATTTTATAAGTTTAAATTTTTATCTTAAAAATTTATATTTTTTAACTTCTTTTTAACCTTAAAAAGACTTAGTAAATTTTGAAAATTTTTAAACTTTTACATTTGATAAACTTCCTTCCTATTCCTATTCACTTCTTACTCAATTTTTATTATTTCTAAAAACAACTTTTAAATTTTTTCTCTAATAAAAATTTAAACTCATGACTTATAAATAATACTAAAAAAAGTAAAAACTCCAATAAGTTTCGCCAAATAGGCCCTTAATGTCATTAATTGTCTACTTCTTGTATTTTTTTTATGAGCTTCGTTACTTTAAAAGTAAAAGGTTAAAAGCTAAGTTAAAAATAGTTTTCTTAAAAGCATTTCTAACGTCAACTTTTAAAGAGTTAGGAGCTGAAGTTACAAAAAATTGTAGCTTCAGAAGTGAGCTATAAAAGCTTTTACTAAAACAATCCTCTTTATTTCAAAAATTAATCTTCTTTATCAAAGTGAAACAAAGGTTAGATTGGATCAAACTAGAACAAATGAGAAGGAAACTCTAAATTTCCTTTCTCGTATGTGAAAGTATGGTAGCTACTCTTTCTGTCCCAATGCAAGAAAGTTG